GACTGAGGCCAGGACCAGACCAGGACCAGACCATGATTCAGACTGGGACTGAGACCAGGACTGAGACCAGGACCAGGCCACGATTTAGACCGGGACTGAGACCAGGACTGAGGCCTGGACCAGACCAGGATCAGACCATGATTCAGACGGGGACTGAGGCCAGGACCAGACGAGGATCAGACCATGATTCAGACTGGGAATGAGACCAGGACTGAGACCAGGACCAGACCATGATTTAGACCGGGACTGAGACCAGGACTGAGGCCTGGACCAGACCAGGACTAGGCCATGATTTAGACCGGGACTGAGACCAGGACTGAGACCAGGACCAGACCATGATTCAGACCGGGACTGAGACTGGGACCAGACCAGGACTGAAAATGGTTTAGTCCTGGTTCAGTCCGACATCACAGTTTAAATAATGGAAACGGAAAACTTTCATTTTCCTTTCTTGATTTAAACACAAAATCGAAAACTGAAAAAACGAATCATTATCTCATTTTTTCATTTTGGTTTTGGAGACAAATAATGAAGAAAATAGTAGTTTTTTCATTTTCTTTTTTTGGTTTTATATTGAAAAATGAAGGAATGATACACAGATTGGTGACGTCACACTCTTATTAATCCACTTCTTTATACAGTCGATGGGTCCAGGGGTTTTATTTAATCACACACAGGTCTCATGTTTGTAGGTTTGGGTTCATTCAGGTGAAATGTTTTGTAATCCAGCCATTTATTACGGATGAGTCACCCACAACGTCCTAAAATCACAGCTCAATTATGTAACAACTTGTCACTACTTTTCACAATTTGTACAAACCAAAGATGTGGTCATGATTAGTGAATGGCTCGGGGAGGAGGAAGTGAACGCGGCGACGAACGGTGACACAGGGTCATGAGTCACACCGTGGGCCGCGCGTACGTCTATTTAATGTAAGGACGGAAAACCTCGGCTTCAGTGACAAACAACAACAACACAAACGGCACAAAGGTCGGGTATGTGTGAAGGTCATGATGAGTGCACATTTTCTTTCTCCAGTTTTACTTTCTTAATCGATGAGTGTGTTTACGTGCACATCGGTATCTCCGTTATGATCGGGTTTTTTGAGTATCCCGGTTTCTTCATGGTGCATGTAAACGCAGTATCCCGGTCTCAGTATCCCGGTTATTAGAAATCGGGATACTGTAGCTGATATATTCCGTAGTGCTGTCATGCGATTTAAAAAATTGAGAGATTAATTAATTATGATCTGTAATTAATTAATCTAATTAATCTCATTAATTCTCATTATTACATTATTGTGGCAGATCAAAAGACTGATATAGAACAAAAAAAAAAAGTGACTTTATAAAGTCATCTCCAAATTGGCTGTTGAGCCCAAGTCTCCATGAATAAGAAACTGTTTGCTGTAAAGTAGCAAAGACGAGGAAATCTGAACATAATAACTTTTGTCGACTTAAAGACAATAAAAAGTCCAGTCTTTCCTTAACCATATTAAAAATATTATTGATAGAGAAATGCTTTATATATGAGATCACTGGTTTTAGTCCTGGTTTAGACCTGGTTTAGACCTGCTTTAGTCCTGGAATGGATTAATCCTGATGTTAGTCCTGGTGTTAGTCCTGGTTTAGTCCTGGTTTAGACCTGGTTTAGACCTGGTTTTAGTTCTGGTTTTAGTTCTGGTTTTAGTTCTGGTTTAGTCCTGGTTTAGACCTGGTTTTAGACCTGGTTTTAGTTCTGGTTTAGTCCTGGTTTAGACCTGGTTTAGTCCTGGTTTAGTCCTGGTTTAGTCCTGGTTTTAGTCTTGGTGTTAGTTCTGGTTTAGAGGCGCACAGGAGGAAGCGCGGTTTACGCCGCGTACGCGAGAAAACACGATCCACACGCGGCTCACGGCAGCACGTCGGTGTCCACGCAGTAACTACGGAAGGAAACGTGGTCCGCGCGTTCTCAGGTTAATGACGATGATGAAGGTGTTTGTGTGTTTGTGTGTGTGTGTGTGTGTGTTTGTGTTGTTTGTGTGTGTTTGTGTGTGTTTGTGTGTGTGTGTGTGTGTGTGTGTGTGTGTGTGTGTGTGTGTGTGTGTGTGTGTGTTTGTGTGTGTGTCCCCTTATGTGGCAGGTCACTATAGGACAGTAGTGCAGACATCATGAGTCTATGCAGGTTGTTTTCAGGCGATATTATATTTGTTATTTTCTTTTATATTTCACGTCGGGAGAATAATTTCCAAGACACAAATGTGTTTTTACCTGTGCACTGCTGCTCTGTTCTACTGGCTCTTCGACCTCGTCCATTGTGCCTGACGCCGCCAACGTTAACATGACGTTTACATCGCTCTTACTGCGCGTGTTTTGTGTGAGTTTCCGGCAATGAGTGGAATTACCGAAATAAAAAAATGTATAAATGTGTTTTGTGTGTGTGTGTGTTGTTGTCCCAGCAACGCATAAAAACAGGTTTTATAATAAAGCAACTCGCATACAGAAACAGTAAAGTTAGAGATTAAAAATGAGATTAACGCGATTAAAAAACATAACGCGCTAAATATGACTGTAATTAATTAATCGCAATTAACGCGATAATTTGACACCCCTAATATTCCGATAGTAACCGGGATACTGTGGCATGTAAACGCAGTATCCCGGTTACTGCAACATAAAGTTGAGTCGCATGCGTCCAAAAGACAAACACTTTCCAGTCTTTTCACCACAACTGTAGCGACATAAATAAAGTGACCGACATAAATAAAGACGGAAACACTACAGTGGAGCATATTCAATAAGGATGTAACAATAACCAAAATATGGTGATATCGTATCGTCAAAGTTCTCACAATAATATCATGGACCATCACAATATATCGAATTACAAGTCTCTCTTAAATTAAAAGTTACCGTGCAGCAATTGCTAAATAAAGACAGAGGGAACCACATAGACCATGATCCTTTGCTCCATTTCAGTGTAAACTACAAGAAGAAAAAACAGTTCTAACACTTTTAAGTCTTAGTTCTTTGGGTTAAGTCTTGTCAAGGCATTTTAAGAGGAAAAAGAAGCATATTAGTCTCCAAAAAATATCACAATAAATATCGTACCGTGAGATTTGGATATTGTTACATCTCTAATCGTGAGCCTCTGCACCATATCGTGAACTTTCCCACGATATCACAATAAATATCGTACGGTGAGGTTCATACCGTGACAATATCATATCGTGAGACTTGAATATCGTTACACCCCTAGTATTCAGTATTTGGTGGAGAGTATTCAACTTTTCCACTCTGGAGGGTGGTTTCAGATTTTTGCATTTTTAAGCCCCAAAAACACATCACCGTCTAAACAAAAGGCACTTTCAATAAAATATTTTGCCGTTTTTACCCACAAATGTTCTCATGTAAACAGGCCCTCAGTGATGGGAATTCCTGCTCTTTTTGGAGAGCCAGTTCTTTTGGCTCTGCTTACTATAAAGAGCCGACTCTTTCGGATCCCAAATGGCTCCTCAGATTGTCTGCTTCTTAAATTCATTTATCACCAAAAATAATGCAAAACTGTGTGTAAAATGAATTACTATTATTAACACACATGGCATCAAATGTTTATCCTCCACACTCCTCCTTGAACAGAGTGCTACAAAATAAATGATAGTAAGTAGTAAAAAAGTATAAAAAGACCCTTGTCAATTAAACAAACTTTTAATTTATTTACTTTTGTATTTGGGTTCGGTCAAGTGGTAACGGAGGGAAACGGGCAGATTTTTGACATTCAAATGTCTCTTATTCAGAAACTAGAGGGACTATTGAAATAAGTAAAGTATCAGAATGTAGGAAAGAGTTACACTCCAACAGGGTCAAGTTAAACCTGTGATATTCTTTCAAGTTGTTGACAAAAAATTTAAAAATTCATGTCGGTAACGGAGGTAATGAAATATGCAACACTTTTTGGGCAATAAATACAAACAGTGATAACTCTTGGTTCTCACTTACATATCCTTAACAAACTGGTTTGAATATTTGCTTCATATAGTTTTCTACCATATGGTACAAGATTAGGTTAAAAAACCTCTTACTTTTTGACTCATGAGATTTTTTTTATTAAGAAAGATCATGGTAACAGAGGGAAAAGTAACGGAGGGAAAATTGTGCAAACAAGTAGAAGGTGCAGGATTTTACATAATTTGTCGCTTTTTTCTTCTGAATATTTTAATATTACTTCAAAATGAAAGGAAAATATTTCTATAAAATATGTCAGTCCTTCCAAGTAAATTCAAAGATGGAATAACACAAGATATGATGAAATACATCAATTTATTGACATGATTTGCAGGTCTTTGAAATTTGGGAAATATTTTTTGTTCCATGTTTCATACATGGTCTGTTTAAAACATATGGAACTTTAGAACCAAAAATGGTACAGAAAAAAGGTAAACAGTTTCATAAACTAGAGTACATATGTATCTGTTCAATACTTTTTTATATCAGATGAATTAACTTGAATTTTTGGCCTTGTTGTTTACTTCTGCTTGACCGGGCCCATTTGCAGAGGTCACTGGTGCTAGACTAGTGCATGTCAATGGTCATAGTTTTCCTGCCACTAAAAACAGTCTTACCCACTCCACAAAACACCTGAAACAAATCTATTATTACACCAGACTGTCCATGTGAATGTCTGTGTTGATAAAATAAGTAAAACCAACCTTGCATTTGAAGGATTTATGTCTGAGCAGCAGCAGTGAGTTGTACTTCCTGACAGAAAGCTCGGCAGCGGCGGACTGATATATGAGAAAATAGTCCCTCAACATGCAAAGATTCACGCGATGCAAGGTTATTTTTATTTCAACACAGACATTCACATGGACAGTCTGGTGTAATAATAGATTTGTTTCGGGTGTTTTGTGGAGTGGGTAAGACTGTTTTTAGTGCCAGTTTAACTATGACCATTGACATGCACTAGTTTAGCACCAGTGACCTCTGCAAATACAAGGACTGGATGGAATATTTTAAAAAAATGTCTCCACACGTCTCCAACACTCTGACTCACAAGGAAATGAGGTGCTACGTCCAAAATTCCAGACTGTCTCTTTAAAAGCATCCTGTAAAAATAAATAAAACAGGTATAAAATTTAATTATGGGTGAACACTTTCTGACTTTGTGACTTGGACTTGGTTTAGAGGATCTGGACTTGGGCACCTGCAGACCACATGCCGCTCTGCTGAGTCTCGCTGCTTCTGCTGAGCTCAGACATTCCACAGCAGTGAGCAGAGGGAGGGGGGATTTCCTCGTTTTCTGCACAATAAACAGTTTCACTTTTGACTGAACTTGGAAAAGGTTAAGTCATTAAATCAGTCACAGAACAGAACTCCAGAGTCCGAGGAGAGTCTTGGGCTCTACTTGGACAGGACAAATGATCCAGGGTTTAGCTGCAACTCAAACTCCGACTCCCCGTGTTGAACCTGCAGGAAGCCAGGACTAAACCGGGACTAAACTAGGACTAACCCAGGGCTAAACCAGGACTAACCCAGTTCTAAACCAGGACTAAACCAGGACTAACCCAGGGCTAAACCAGGACTATTACTTATTTTTCTATTTTATTCTGACTTGTACATTTACATTTATATAATTATGTCTTATTTGACTCTGTCTCTTACTCTTTTTTGCTACTTATTTAGAATTTATTATTACCATTTATATTTTTTCTCTTTGTTATTATATTATATTGTGATGTGTGAGCTACTGTGCCCAAATAATTTCCCTTGTGGATCAATAAAGTTTGTCTAAGTGTAAAGCAGGAGGCTGGTCCCTGTGCTCCTCAGAGTGTGAGCTGATTCACAGACACTGACATGTCTGTGGTGCTCGGCTGTGGAGAGAGAGAGCTGCTTTTATATATATATATATATATATATATATATATATATATATATATATATATATATATATATATATATATATATATATATATATATATATATATATATATCACATACACACACACACTATATATATATATATATATATATATACACACACACACACAGGTACATACATGTACACATTCATTCTCTACATTCATTTACATTATATGTTCATAACACTACCCCTTATGTACACACATGTGTGGACGCATGCACGCACCTATATACGCACATGCATGCCTACATATATATACACATGCACATATATACATGCAGGCATATATCCTTACACATACATATATTTCACTACATCATATTATAAAGGCAGAGCATAATATCTATTATATTTTCCCTTTATATATATGTATACACACACACACACACATATATATATATATATATATACATATATACACATATATATATACACAGAGAGCTATTTTAAAGGAAGAGTATTTAAGATTATGACTGATCTGTGTATTAAATACAGCTTTTACTGATAAATGTAATGCTGATTTATTTGTAATGACAAAAACATCAGATATTATGTCCCTTTCATTTATATTATAATTTGGTGTTCTCATTATCCAATCAGAAAGCAGAATGAGACTCACATGTTGTTGCCATTTTTTAAACCTAAAATGTCTCTCTCTGATCTGAACGGTCTCTACATAAACTCCAGCTCCTGCACCAGTCCTGAGTCTGTGCTAATGCAGCCTCTGCAGCTCAGGGAGGGAATTCTGGAGGCTCTGAGCTTCAGATGAGTCTGTCCATAAACTGAGACTGAGATAAACGTGTACACAGCAACACAGGTTCAGTTGCAACAGAACTGACTAATGTTCGGTAAAGCGTCTTTGTGACAAATGTCTGTGTAAAGCACTGTATATATATATTTAAAAAAACAAAACAAACTAGAAGTAGAAGAATAAGAGCGCAGACAACATGCAGCTCCTTTAAAATCTCTGAGCCACAGGAGCGTGTGCAAAGACCTGAGACCAGGACTTGATTCGAGTCAGGACCTGAGCAGCAGCGTTCTGGACGTACTGCAGGCCACGGATTCAATGTCTCCAAGCGTCTCTGAGCTTTGATTTTCCTCGTTCATAGATCGACGACTGAGAACCAACATCACTGTAGTTTCACCGTCGCGTTCATCGTGGGTTTGAAAGTATGACATTAAACTTTTCAAAGGTGTGAATGATGAACCAGTGAAGGTGAAAATGATCCACATGTGGTCAGGACTTTTGACGATAGTTTCCTCTTACAGTGGGAGGGGACAAACTAGGTACATCTCAGGTACATCTGCCCTCAAAAACCTCAAACTTCCCCTCTGAGCACATCTGTACAGGAGCGAAATATTGAGATCAACACCTCCAAATTAAAAAGTTAAAAAGGTGTGAAGTCTCCGACCATCACAGGAAGAGACTGGGGTAGTTTTAGCAGCCTGTCCTTACTTCTGCTTTTGACTTGAAAGTGGAACCTAGGTGCTTTTTTATTTTGTATAGTGAAGAGGAAGTGTGAACAAATGACAAGTTTAATATCTAAACATTTTTATAGCATGTTGTGGGTGGTGCGGTGTGACTTTTACCGTGAAATATAGGTTCCTATTTTGTTTAACAGCACATTTAACGGCCCCATAATATTATTTTATACCATTATTATATTATATGTACTTTGAGCTGAGTCGAATCAGGTTTAAAAACTCCAAAATTTGAGCTTTGTTTGAGCCCGAGACAGCTCCATGGAGAACAGAGAGCGGGTCGGCCAAGTCGAAAGCAGAACAAAGCAGATAAGTGCACTTTTAGTTTTGAAACCTTGAAGGGAAAGTTAAACAGGAATTAAACTGGGTGAAACCACTCTCCTCGCACAGAAACTCACAAGACATTTAATTTGGTTTTGAAAATGTTACAAAGGTGTGTCATGATCTTAAAGCCAAAGACAAATTATGCGAAATTGACTTTTCAGAGCAGGACAGAACGTTTTTGCACACGAGCCGGGGACTGCAGTCATATTTGTACAGTATGAAAATCTGTAAATAGATGTTAATGTTGTGTAGATGTTGTGCAGTGTTGGGAAGGTGACTTTTAAAATGTAATCCCCTACAGATTACAGATTACACACACCAAAATGTAGTTTGTAACGTAATCCATTAAATTACTTAAAGTGAGTAATGTAATCTGAATACTTTGGATTACTTGATTTGCTGTAGAGAAACAAAGACGAGGAAATCTTCATATAAGAAGTTTTGTCTGATAAAAGAAAATGAAAAGTCCAGATTTACTGAACCAGAAAAAATATTATTGATAGAAGAGGAGGAGACACGTCCACACAGCAGGATTTAGTCCTGTTAAATCCTGTTTTAGTCCTGTTTTAGACCTGGTTTAGATCTAGTTTAGACCTGGTTTTAGACCTGGTTTTAGTCCTGGTTTTAGTCCTGGTTTAGACCTGGTTTAGACCTGGTTTAGTCCTGGTTTAGACCTGGTTTAGTCCTGGTTTAGACCTGGTTTTAGACTGGTTTTAGACCTGGTTTAGACCTGGTTTAGACCTGGTTTAGTCCTGGTTTAGACCTGGTTTAGTCCTGGTTTAGTCCTGGTTTTAGTCCTGGTTTAGACCTGGTTTAGACCTGGTTTTAGACCTGGTTTTAGACCTGGTTTAGTCCTGGTTTAGACCTGGTTTAGACCTGGTTTAGTCCTGGTTTAGACCTGGTTTAGTCCTGGTTTAGACCTGGTTTAGACCTGGTTTAGACCTGGTTTAGTCCTGGTTTAGACCTGGTTTAGTCCTGGTTTAGTCCTGGTTTTAGACCTGGTTTAGACCTGGTTTAGACCTGGTTTTAGACCTGGTTTAGACCTGGTTTAGACCTGGTTTAGTCCTGGTTTAGACCTGGTTTAGTCCTGGTTTAGTCCTGGTTTAGACCTGGTTTAGTCCTGTTTAGTTTAGTCCTGGTTTAGTCCTGGTTTAGACCTGTTTAGTTTAGTCCTGGTTTAGACCTGGTTTAGACCTGTTTAGTTTTAGTCCTGGTTTACCTGGTTTAGACCTGGTTTAGTCCTGGTTTAGACCTGGTTTAGTCCTGGTTTAGTCCTGGTTTAGTCCTGTTTTAGACCTGTTTAGACCTGGTTTAGACCTGGTTTAGTCCTGGTTTAGTGGTTTAGTCCTGGTTTAGTCCTGGTTTAGACCTGGTTTAGACCTGGTTTAGTCCTGGTTTAGACCTGGTTTAGTCCTGGTTTAGACCTGGTTTAGTCCTGTTTAGACCTGGTTTAGTCCTGGTTTAAAGTCCTGGTTCAATCCTGGTTTAGTCCTGGTTTAGTGTCCTTCAATGAGTGGAATTACCAAAAAAAAAAAAAAAAAAAAGGGATTTAGCCCAAAATGTGAAAACAGGAAAATCCCTCTGTGTAATCCATTTATTTCAACAAAGTAACTGTAATCCAATTACCACTCACTGAAACAGTAACTGTAACTGAATACAGTTACTCATAATTAGTACTCTGATTACATAACTCATGTAATCTGTTACTCCCAACACTGCGCATGTGTGAGTAGTGAGAGTAAAAATTTGACCTGTACATTTTAATACTAATCTTGCATGAGAATGTTTTGGAGTTTATGAGTGACAGACGCATGTTTTGTATGGGGTATTCTACATTTTGTCATGTTTTATGATTTGTGCGGGTTAAGTCGCGGGACTAAGGATGGAAATTAGCTTGGGCTGTTCTTCCCTACAAAAGCAGAACACCGCAATATCATGTTTGGTCAAAAATGAGTTTGTGTGGTTTTGTTTGTATGTGAGAGCTCCTTTATCATGTGAATAAAAAAACTATTGAGCTCAAAATCGACCTTTAAGTCTTATTTCTCAGTTCCCGTACTTTGCCTTTGTATCATGAGCCAGAAACACAGAGTCGTGCGAAGACAAAAGGCAGAAATTGTGTATTTTTTTGTTTGTGCTTTAGTTAAAATCCAACCTTTCGCCTCCTTCTTTTTGTTGCAGCCTTGGCACACGATCTTAACACATTAAATAAATAAACCTTTGTATTCAATTATACTTAAATTATCTTTAATGTGAAAGTATTTGGTGTATTTATTCAAGTCAGTGGCCCGAGCTCAATGGCGCGTGACTCCAGATTCGCCTTTCAGCTCGGCGAGGTACTAATGCTCTTTTCTTCCACAGGCATGTGATCGCGTCGACCAATCAGAGAGGAGCAGAGCGGAGCCGGAAGCTAACGATTATAAAGTGTTTTTTAAGACAACTGAAGGATTTTGAGCTGAGAAAAATGATTAATGATATAAAAATAAGGTAAATATCGACACAAAAGTTGACGTTTTTGAAAGTTGTACGTGCCCTGTCAGCTGAACACGAGCAGTTTGTGATTACGAGAAAAATCA